TTTCTCTCATTCTGTCTCATTCTGTCTCTTTACGTGTCTGTCTATCTCCCGTTCTCCCTTTCTTGCTCTTTCTCCCCCACCAAGAGCACTCCACCTACCACTACCTTCCTCCACTCTTTCTTTCCCCACTAGTGCTCTCACTATTGTCATTACAAATAAGCTCTCTTGCCTAGGTCTTATTGGTGAGGTGTCGCTCTTCTTTCTCTTCTTCTCCTCCTCTCTCTCTCTCTTACTTTGTGTAATATACGAGCGATTACGCATGTATATAGGTACGCGTTGCACGTCTTCGCTTATACACGCGGTGGTTCACATGTTCCGCCAGTGCACATGCACAAGGCGATAAGAGCACACTCTCCGGTCTCCGTCCATTTTATTGGAGCACGATTCTCCCGTGCTATCTTCCTGTCTCTCTCTTTCTTTCTCACCCCTATCCTTCTGTCCTGGTTCGCTCTATCTCTCTCTTATGGCCTCGCTCGCTCGCTCATTCTCTCTTCGTCTTTCCCCTTTTTTATCTTTCTCGCCGTACTGCTCTAGCGTAGTACACGAAGACACATAGCAAACCAGCCTCTATACATTGGTTTTTCGTCCTTGTCATTTGGACGCGACAGAATAGAGGCACTCCTTGTCGTCGCAGTGGTATAATACGAGAACGAGTGTTCACGCCCGCGCGCGTTCATAAAATACGTAAGAATGAAACGAGTATCGCAAGGATTAGCATGTAGTCTACTATTAATTTCTTTCTAGTTCTTTCATGCCCTTCGCTATTTCCTTCGATACTTCCATTCTTTCCGCTGTACCCATTCGTGCTCGTTTCTCCCACTTTCATTTCGGTATTTACGATTTTTACTCCCTCTCTTGTTCCCTCTATCTTGCGTGCTATACTTTCAGACGTTTTTTTTTTTCTTTTTTCAGTCCATCAGTAGGTAGGTCCATATCGTGCGTTCGATTTTTACTCCGCCCTCGTTTCTTTTCCTGTTTCTATATACCTTTTTCCTTCCAATTCATTGGTAAAGTGTTGCTCCTCCTACGTCCTGGCTCCACATTTTCTTTCCCTTGTCCATTTTTTTTCTACTTCATTATTATGATGCTTTAAACCTCTTTTTAATGTCAGTTCATCGATCTCGATTTACCTTTCCTCTTTTACATTGGCTTGCAATATTGTTGTACTTCTTATTATATTTGCATCTCGTCTTTGTGTTGGTCATCTTCTTGAATCTGTTTTGAAAAAATCTTCGGTGTTAAAGTTACAAAATCTAGCTAAATACTAAAGTTTTTAAAATATATTTCTCATCAAAATTAGATAAAGTTCTCGATATTTCGAATTATTGGAATATATGATAATTGAGTATAAAAGAGTAAAAACAAAATTAAAAACGAAAGCATATCCTATGCTTGAATTGAAGATATACATTCGCGCATTATCTTCAAGCGCTCGTGAAACAACGGACCGTTCATTACTTCAGTTTAGCTTTTCCTTTCTCGCGCCTTTCTCCCGTAACTCTGCACAATTCTTCCATTCATTCTCTCTCTCTCTCTCTCTCTCTCTCTCTCTCTCTCTCTCTCTCTCTCTCTCTACTCTACTACTACTACGTACGTACG